AAAAATTACAGAAAGTTTTCTGTAAAAAATTACAGAAAATTACAGCAAAAAATTGCTTTTAACCTTCTAACGTAATAGCGCCACAAAGTGGTCACTCATTGTTTATTGAAGAACTTGCTATCACCATTACTAATTCTACAAAAACTACTCCTTATCACTCTGATAATTTAAAGAATAATGAATTATTATAGAAAGTATTGAGTTGGTATTGTTTTTATCAAGTTTTGAAAATCATTATCTTGACAGATCCATGTCAACTCAGTGCTTTCTATAACAATTCATTACTCTTTAAATTATCAGAGTCATAACGAGTAGTTTTTGTAAAGTTAGTAATGGTGATAGCAAATTTTTCAATAAACAATGGGTGACCACTGCGTAGTTAGTGCTGCTTATGTCAGAACATAAGTAATTTTTTGTTTGTAATTTTTAATACAGATGTTAATCACTTTAAATGCAACGATAACAGTAATTAAACAGAGTTGTATTCCTTGATTAAAAGTAATAAATATAACTCACCCTTTTGTGTTGAACTTGAGAATATACTCTAGTATATAGAATACATGTGCATGAGATAAGCGACATCGAACTGTGAAGAAAAAGATCTTCAATATTTGATGAAAATGTTACCAATTCAGTACTATTTATAATAATTTAAATGTATGTAAAAGAAGATGTGAAATCCAAACAAAATTACTTAAAAAAAAGAAAAAAGCGCAAAGTACACGTGTTGCAGCGTTTCTTCCGCAAATATAGATTTAAAAAAATGTTATAAAAAATAAAGGCTAAGAAAATAATATGGGATGTTGTATTTTAACTTCCCAAAAATTATCTCGTTGCATGAAAAAAAATATTCAGGAAAAATTATTAATGCAAGTTTGTATAAAAAAATGTTACTTTTTAATCTTTTTAAAAAAAGTAATGAAATTAAAAAGTTACGCCAACTGATAATGCAAAAATATGTTGTACAAGATATAAAAAACGAAGCAACGAAAGCAAATAAAATTAAAAATAATAAAACAATGGAACATAAAATTAAGATTTTGACAAAAACACTTGGCGTACCTAGGATGCATTAAAACAAAAGTTGTAATAGATTTTACATTTCAATCTTCTAATAATTGCGATGGTACATTTTATAATTATGTAATGACAATCTATATTTCTAAAAATTAATATTAAATGTGTTAACACTATTTATATTGTTGTGTACGAGCCACAAGGAGTGTGGCAGCGTCCGTTGTCAGCGAGCCTTAGGCATATGGATTTTGATAGTTGAAGGATGTTTGTCTGGATGACGGGAATTTGTTGGAAAACAACAGCAGCAGAGTCTGTTACGAGCCGTGACAGCTGCGAGCAGACGTGACTTAGACGTTTCTTTTTAATATTGTTAAGACGAGAGGATGTTCGTGAGTCTGTACATATTGGAAGTAAAACGGAGTACTTCTTTTCCTCTAATCCTGTCAGTTCATTTCGCGGACCCGGTACGTGCGAGACGGACACGCGCAACATTTCGGGGGCTGATCCGGGATCGAATCACAGAGTATTCGGGATAAAAATCGCGAGACGTCCGGGTTAGGAACGCGAGATGTTCGGTATCGTATCGCGACGCGCATCGCGAGTAAGAGTGACAGTGAGAGAAAGTGAGGATACAGAATGATAACCGAAGCAAGAGGTCATGCGGTTCCTAGCCGACGGAAGCATGTTCGTTCAAATGAGTCGGAAGCGACGGGGACGGAGGCGGCAAGCTCCGGAACGTCGGAGGTGACGGTGTTACAGGATGCGCTCCAAGAGATCCGAGCGATGAGGGAGGCGCGGCTGCATTTAGTGGAGGAGCTGGAGGCGCAACGGCAGAATATGACAGGCCAGTCGCTTTCAATTTCTTTAATAACCGGGCAAATCAAAACCGATATTTTTGACGGAACCGTGTCTTTACGCGAATATCTTTGCCAGTATGAATTGATCGCACGGGCGAATAATTGGGATGAGAATTTTAAAACGATAAATCTCGCGGCAAATTTGCGAGGAAAAGCTCGGACGGTTTTAGAGGGTATGGAGGAAAATTTTAATCATGCACAATTATGTGCTAGGTTAGAGTTACGTTTCGGACAACAGGGGCTTTTTCAAAATTTCTATACGCAGTTTATTAATAGAAAATAAAAATTTGGGGAAGAAATTACGTCTTACGGATCGGAAATAGAGCGATTAGCGCGTTTAGCTTATCCCGAAAGCGGAAAAGAAATGAGAACAAAGATAGTTTGTGCGCAATTTATTGTGGGACTAGCGAGCGAAAATACAAAGCGTTTATTGCAACTTGAGGGGACAGTGTCTTTAGAGGCAGCGATAGAAAGAGCAAATACTATAGAGACTATTTATGAAAATGGTTCTGAAAGAAGAAGTTTTGGGAGGAAGGAATTTTACGGAAAAGAAAGGGAATCGACGAATTTCAATTTCATCCGCTTGCTAAAATTGTTTATATCTGGGCTCTATAAGCTTTATTGTATTAACGTGATCTCGCTTAGAATTTAAACCTACATCTTGTCTTCGATATTATGTATTGATATTCCCGTATAGAAAAATCGCGAACATTGAGTTTGATTGTATGTTATCGATACATAGTCTCGGCTTCTTATACACGGGCCTGAGTCCTGTGTCTATCGGGAGAAAGTTCGACAAGACATCGAAGATGCTAGAAGACGAGATATACACGCTGTTCTTCCTCGACGTTCGGCGAGACTTCTCATATCACTTCTTGTAATAGCGCAATTCCGTGGAAAAATTGTCGGGCGACATTTAAACTCTTTCTATTCATTAAACTGCAGTTCTGTTGTAAAGTGACGGCATTCAATCGTCTCCCTTTACTCCTTCTTTTACAATTTGCACTTTCGGTAAGAACATTTGGTCCTTCGAGCCTGCGTTGCTTGCGCTCCGGTAGCTGTAGTGAAGTGCTTGTTTGACTTATCCTGGTTTCTTCGGACGCTAACGATGGAGTCGCTCATCAGCGCTCAGTCGGAGCTTTGCGATCGTATTGCTCGCACGAACGACAAGGGTTGAGGAAGGCTGGTGCGGCGAAGATTACCTCGGCGTTAGTGCAATCAACCATTAGTCTTCTGGATAGGAAGTGGGAAAAATTCGAGGAACACCATGATCTGTTGCGATCGAAATTCCACTCAGAGCTGCTGCATCATGACTACATACGGTGCAACACTATTAGAAAAGTGGAAGATATCTACTTGCAGCAGCGTGCCTCGTTAATCGAAGTCGAGCAATCTCTCTCGATTAAGAAGACGGCTGCAGTTGAGCCTCGCAGTTGTCCGACAGAGGTTCGTGCTCCAGATCATCTTTGCCTCGCATCCCGCTTCCGCAATTTTCCGGCAGATCAAAGGATTGGCCTGCTTTTCGCGATCTCTTCCGTTCAATGGTCATTGCCGACGGAGCTATTTCAGAAATAGAAAAGCTGCAAAATGAGCATCCAGAGTGACGCTGAGCAACTGATACGCAGTCTCCCAGTGGTCGGTGACAACTTTTCCCGAGCTTGGACGATCCTCACCAATCACTACGAAAACAAGCGGGTGCTGGTGACTGCATTCTTCAGCGCTTTCACCTCTCAGCCGAAGATGAAGTCGGAGTCTGCCGCCGATCTTCGTAAGGTCTTCCACGGTATGATGAACTTCGTGAGCTCCCTGGAGGGCGTCGGAAGACCGATTTCGGACTGCTCCGATCTCTTCGTGTACCTGGTAGTGGAGATGCTGGAAGCAAAGACCAGACGTGAGTTGGAGAACCATGTTAGAGGCTCTTCTGATCCTTCGTCTTATGATCAGCTTTTCAATTTCCTGGAGCGTAAGTTGCGCACTCTACACGCCTTGTGCGCGAGTAGGATCGATTCGAGCGCTTCGAAACAAGACGGGTCGGGCCGGGTGACAAGAGCGTTGCACGCCAACTCGCAGGAATCTTCCCAGCGGACGGTGCCCACTGTGCCCCAAGTCGCACTACGTTTTATTTTGTGACAAATTTAAGTCGCGGTCAGCCGTAGAGCGTAGGAATGCAATCGAGAAGCACAGCCTGTGCTTGAACTGCCTGGGTAGGCATCCCGTCAGCGCGTGCAACTCATCAAAATCATGCGTTCGATGCGGCGACAGGCATCATAGCGCAATGCATGACGCGTTCGAGTCCGCAGGCACGGAGCGGGAGAGGCGAACGCGAGCATTTCGGCTCTCGCAGCTTGTCGTCCGTTCGGAGAGCTCAGCGAACGGTTGCTCGCCACCGCGCACGTCAAAGTCGTGGGACATCTCGGGGATCATGTTGTGGCGCGGGCGCTTCTTGACCCCGGCTCCGAGACCTCACTGATCAGCGAGGCGTTTGCTCAGCGCTTGAGGTTGCCGCGGACTTCCTCGACACTCTCCATCACCGGAATTGGAGGAGTGAGTTCTGGCTCAACTCGCGGGCGAGTGTGCGTGTCGGTCATTTCGCGTTTCGGGATTCCAGTTCTGCAAGCGCAAGCCTACGTACTACCACGATTGACTTCTTATGGCCAGCGATATTGCGTTTCAGGCAAATCGTGGCCACATCTTCGCGACCTCGATTTAGCGGATCCAGATTACTTGAATCAAGGCGCAATTGATTTAATTCTCGGTGCGGAAGCCTTCTCAGAGTTGATCCTCGACCGTATGCGAAAGGGAGGACCCGTGGAGCTGGTCGCACTCCGCACACGTCTCGGCTGGGTCGTGATCGAGGAGAGCGGCACTGCCTCCCGCTCCTCCGTCTCCGCGCTACAGTGCTCGGTCGATGACGAGCTGTCCGCCCGCGTGCGTCAGTTCTAGGAGTTGGAGGAGGTTCCGCAGAATACGGCTCCCTTCACCGCCGAGGAAAAGTCTTGTCTGGAGCACTTCGAGGTCACTCACTCTAGGGAACTTGGAGGACGATACGTCGTCCGGCTGCCTCTCGCCAACAACGTTTCTAATTTGGGCGACACACGTCGTCAGGCGGAGCGTTCTCTTTTCGCCATGGAGAGACGTTTCGCTCACGAGCCTACTTTCGGAAGAAAATACGAGGACTTCATGCGCGAATACGAGTCTCTTGGCCACATGGGCACGGCTCTCCCTCTCGAGCGTCAAGGACACAACAAGCGATGTTTCCTGCCGCATCATGGCGTTTTTCGCGAGTCCGGAGGCACTAAAAAGCTGCGCGTGGTGTTCGATGGGTCGCATCGCACAAGTGACGGTTACGCATTGAACGATTTCCTCAGGGTCGGACCTAACCTTCTGCCGAAGCTCGCTGATGTGCTGCTTGCTTGGTGACGGCACCGGTATGTTTTCACTACGGACATCGAGAAAATATATCGTCAGATTCTGCTGCATTCGGACGATCGCGGCCTTCAGAGGATTTTGTGGTGTGCCGATGGTGAGGTGAAAGCGTATCGGTTGCACAGCGTTACTTACGGCCTAGCGTCCGCGCCATTCCTCGCTATCCGCAAGTTACAACAGCTGGCCACTGATGAAGAGACGAGGTTTCCGCTTGGGGCTCGTGTGTTGCGAGAGGATGTCTACATGGACAATATCCTCACAGGGGCCCCGTCGATTCCTACTGCTCTAGCTCTACGGCAACAGCTCGAGAATGTTTGTCGAGCTGGAGGCTTCCCGTTGAGGAAGTGGATCGCCAATAGCGAATTTATTTGGGCCGGTATCCCGTTCAATTACCGAGCTGACGGTGAGCAGTTCGAGCTGCTTACGCGAGAATTCAGCCACGCCAGCCTCGGACTGATGTGGAGACCGCTCGTTAACGAATTCTCTTTCACCATCCGCTCGTTGGGAGAGAGCGCCATGACCAGGCGGGGCGTTCTCTCTCAAGCCGCTCAGCTTTTTGACCCTTTGGGATGGATGGCGCCCGTGACTATACGGGCGAAGTGCCTAATAAAAGCAACCTGGTGCCTGCGCATTAGTTGGGGCTCTCCTTTGCCGGACGAGGATGTCAGCGCTTGGAGGACTTTTTACGAGGAGCTCCCCCTCCTGCGGCAAGTAAGTCTGCCGCGCTGGAACGGGCTCGATCGCCCGGGTAGCGAAGCGGAGCTCCACGAATTTGCCGACGCCTCTGAGCTGGCGTACGCAGCGATGCTCTATTTGAGGACCGCCCTGGATAACGACGTCAGGGTCTCGTTGCTGTGTGCCCGGACGAGGGTAGCTACTCTCCGACAGGTGTCCTTGCCGAGGCTGGAGTTGTGCGCCGCTACCCTACTTGTAAGATTTGCGTCTCATGCCGTTTCCATTTGTAAGCTGCGTCCTTTCGCTGTGGTCGGATTCAACAGTGGCCTTAAGTTGGATCCGAAGTCACCCGCGGAGCTGAACCACCTTCGTGGCCAACAGAGTGGCTGAGATCCAGGCTCTCCTCCCCGATGCTGAGTGGCGCTACGTGCCGGGAAAGTGCAATCTTGCTGACTGCGCCTCTAGAGGCATAGCACCTAGCGAGTTCATCTCTCACTCGCTTTGGTTGAACGGTCCGGATTCCCTTATCACTCGACGATGGCCCTCACTTCCTATCACTAGTGAGAAGTTGGAGGTGCCGGAGCGTCGTGTGGTCGTCCATATCGCCCGATTGGAGACGGAGGAGAGCCCTGTTCTCTTAAGGGTTTCATCTATGACGAGACTGCTACGAGTGACATCCTGGATGAGACATTGGCTCGGGTGTTTTCGGGACATTTCACCGTCGCCCGTCCTGACAGGAGGAGCTGCGACATGCGGAGTTGCTGTGGATTCGTCATGTGCAGGCGATGGCTTTTGAGAGCGAGTTCGGAGCTGTCACCTGCGGGCGCAGCTTCCGAGGCGTAGCTCCCTTCTGCGCCTCACTCCCTTCAAGGACGTGAAGGGAGTTTTGCGGGTGGGTGGCCGCCTAAAACACACGCTCCTCTGCTATGATGAGCGCTATCCGGTTATTCTGCCTCCGCGCTCGCACTTCACCCGGCTGGTGATTGACGCTGCTCACAGACGCATGATGCATGGCGGGGTCCAACTCGTGCTGGCCACCATCTGAAGACGGTACTGGGTTCCCCAGGGTCGACGTCCTGGTGAAGGAGCACGTCTATTGCTGCCCCCTTATGTGCCATGGCGGGCGGCAGCGCCGCAACCTCAGATGAGTTGCCTACCGGGTCTTGCCTTGCCGGCCCTTCCTCAGGACGGGAGTGGACTATGCAGGGCCTGTTCTGCTCCGCTCGACTCGAGGGCGAGTGAACTCTGCGTCGAAGGCGTTCATCGCTGTTTTCGTGTGCTTCGTGACCAGGGCCGTACATCTTGAGGTCTTTTCGGATTATTCTTCGAGCACGTTCCTGGCGGCTTTCCGGCGGTTCACTGCTCGGCGTGGCTCTTGTCTTGAGCTGTACAGCGACTGCGGGACGACCAGGGTTGCAGCGGACCAACTAGCCAGCAAGGGCACGCGGTGGCGCTTCAATCCTCCTGGCGCTCCTCACTTCGGCGGACTATGGGAGGCAGCCATCAAGTCCGTCGATTACCACTTGACGATTATCACTCAGGCAATTTCTTTCGGATTAGATGCGGATTCCGGCTCGGGAACCTCAGGCTCTTTAACATCGACATCGCAAGTTGTAAGACGTTCACCCGTACTGTTGGCTACCGCTTTCGTTAACGTTATGTCTCGCGCCGGAGACTGTCATCCAGTTCGCATTTCTTGATCAGGGATCGGAAGTCTCGTTTGTTTCAGAATCTGTTGTGCAATTAATGAAACTCCCGCGTCGAAGCGCGTCTATTCCGATCCTTGGAATCGGCGCTCAGCGATCGAGTGTCTCTAACGGCATCGCCTCTCTCACAATCATCTCAAGGATAAACTCAGATATTTCGTTCGACATTGACGCTCTCATCCTACCGAAATTAACCTCGTATCTTCCTGCTGCTCATGTCGAACCATATCAATGGCCTCACCTTTACGGTCTTCAGCTTGCCGACCCGAACTTCGCGACGCCCGGCAAAATTGATGTCATTCTCGGAACGAGCATCTATGCAAAAATTCTCGAGGAAGGCATCAGTCGAGGAAATTACGGAGAACCCATCGTGCAGCGAACAGCATTCGGATGGGTTCTATCAGGGCCGCTCGCGCAGGACGATCAACAGAGGATCATTTCAGCGAGTACCTCCGCTATTGGACTGCAATGTGCAGTCCAATAGCGGTCGACTCCGAACTTCTTGATTTTCTTCAACAGTTTTGGAAACAAGAAGTATTGCCGCAAGCTCCTGCGTCACTCACGACGGACGAATCAGTATGTGAGCAACATTTTGAAGCAACTCACTCGCGCGATAATCATGGACGATTCGTAGTTCGACTTCCTCCGAAAACTCAAATTAGCGACTTCGGCAACTCTAGAACTTACGCACTCAAGACATTACTCCGTATTGAAAAACAATTCGGCGTCGAGTCCGTCTCTTAAAAACCCGTACACTGACTTTCTTCGTGAATATCAGGAATTCGATCAAATGCGTTTCATCCCCGAAAATGATCGCGTTCAATCTCGTGAATTTCTTCTTCCGCATCATGGCGTCGTCCGAAAAACAAGCTCAACGTCAAAACTACGCATCGTGTTTAACGGATCTCAAAAGACGAACCTCGGTTTCTCGTTAAATGACTATCTACATGTTGGTTCGAAATTGCAAACGGAAATCGCGGACATCATTATTCGATGGAGGCGACATCAATTCGTGTTCGCGGCAGATGTCGAGAAAATGTATCGCCAAATTCGAGTTCACGAGGATGACTGGCCGCTTCAAAAGATCCTATGGCGAACCTCACCGAACGACCGTCCTCGCGAATATTATCTATGTACTTTCACATACGGTCTCGCATGCATCTCATATCTCGTGCTCCGATGTCTACATCAACTTTGCATGGAAGTCGAAGATAAGCAGCCGCTCGCTGCACAAATCTTGGTCACGACACATACGTCGACGACATTCTGTCCGGCGCATCTGATGTCTCACATGCTAAAGCTCAAATCCAGCAATTGCGGGAGGCTCTCAGGACGGGCCGGTTCCATCTTCGCAAATGGATCGCAAACGACGCGACTCTCCTCGCCGACGTCCCGGATCGCGACCAAAACCTGACATCATTGCTACCGGTCAACGACAACACGATATACAATACGCTCGGAATATCATGGGAAAAACAGCACGATAAATTCATATTCTCTCTACCGACGACCATCAACTCAAGCAGGAACTTAACGAAACGCTACGTGCTTTCGTCTATCGCGAGAATGTTCAATCTACTTGGGTGGATCACACCAGTCATTATTAGGGCAAAAATATTCATGCAGGAACTCTGGGCTATCCGCCTTGAATGTGATGACGAGCTACCTGAGCCACACAACTCTCGATGGTAAAATATCATATTCCAATTCCAAGACGTCGCAGCTATCTCAAACCCCCATTGCTTCGGAACGACTACTTCGAATCTGGCTATCGAGATTCACGGGTTCGCTGACGCCTCCCAATGTGCACCGCGGCAGCTGTGTATTTCCGAGTTTTTAACGACCTTGATGTTGTGCACGTATGTCTTGTCTCGGCGAAAACAGAGGTAGCTCCTCTCAAACGCATGTTAGTTCCGCGACTCGAGTTATCCACGGCCGTATTATTCGTCCGTCATGTGCAGAAAATTTGTAAAATACTCGATATTCCTCACGCATCCATTCACTTATGAACTGATTCGACCGTTGCGCTCGCCTGGATAAAGAGTCATCCGTCACGCTGGAAAGATTTTCGTTCGGAACCGCGTCGCTTCATTCAAGATTATCTCATTCGAAATGGCATCACGTCTCGAGTAAAGAAACCCCGCGGACCTCGCCTCGCGAGGAATATCGCCACAACGACTCCGTGCGGGGCAAATCTGGTGGTCAGGGCCGCATTGGCTGCAGAAACACTCGACAGCGTGGCATTGCGTCGGCTCCAACTACACAGTCTGTCCCAGATACGATGAGACTGGTTCCATCAAAGATCTTAGCGCAGCAACATCTATGAGTGAATGATAGTAGGTAATGTTCTACCCTTCATCTACTTACCTCAAAATTTGAGCGAATTCGGTTGATATTTCACTGTGGTTTGACATTTTATGTAAAGTCACTTTGTGTACGTCGGTCGAAAAACTAACATGGAACAAAGAGCGAATATTAAATTCTGTTTTAAATTGGGTAAAAGTGGTGCAGAAACGTACGAAACGCTAAAAAATATGTACGGGATGAATGCATGTCCCGTGCACAGGTTTTCCGTTGGTTTGGCCGATTCCGTGATGGTCGTGAGGACCTTGCAGACGATGACCGAGCACCGCCGCCAAAAACCACTCGCAATGAAGAAAACATCGAGAAAGTCAAAGAAATTCTTCGAAGCGACCGCTGTGTATCTGCGAGACTCATCGAGAGGAAACTGAGATACCGAAAAGCAGTCTATCGAATTTGACCGAAGATTTGGGCAAACGGAAGGTCTGTCGCGCTTCGTGCCACACACTCTGACAGACGACAAAAGATTGGAGAGTTCAGCATTGCAAAGACATGTTAAAAATCTCCCGAAGAAATCCGACAAGCATGTCAGCCATTGTAACTGGTGATGAAACGTGGTGTTTTCAATACGAGCCAAAAATAAAACGTCAGAGTGTGGCATGGAAGTCACTAGAAGAGCCAAAAGAGAAAAAATTACGCTTTCAGAAGAGCAAATCAAGACAATGCTGACCGTTTTCTTCGATTCAAAGGGAATTGTTCACAGTGGAATTCGTCCCAGAAGGTCAGACGGTGAACGCAGAATATTATCTGGGAGTTCTACAACGATTGTGGGTCAGAATTCGACGAGTTCGACCGGAATATCGAGAGCCAGGCAGTTGGTTTTTGTTGCACGATAATGCACCATCGCACAAAGCCATCATGGTACATGAGTTTTTGACCAAAAAAGGCATCATTATTATCGATCATCCACCGTATTCACTTGATTTGGCTCCGTGCGACTTCTGGCGAATTCCCAAACTGGAAATTGGCGATGAAAGGAAAATCGTTTCGATACCATCCCGGTCATCCAAGACTTCGACCGCCATACTAAAGGCCATTCCAGCCGATGAGTATAAAAATGTTTCGAAAAATTTGTTGAACGTTTCCAGCGCTGTATTGACTCAGAAGGAGACTATTTTGAATAAACAAGAATAAAAAATCAAAATAATAAACGCTTTGTACTTTTTAGACCAGTTTCATTGGATCTGGGACAGACTGGTGTATTGACCAAAACATGAAGAAGAAAAGCGAGCCCCCACTGCTCGACGGCCACCGAAGCTCGCGAACCAGAAATCTGGGATCTAATCGAGAATTATTCATCTCTAACCTCGCTCGTTCGCGTCA